CTAGCAGCCTGAGGCTACATTAGCCGCTACTAGCATTATGCACCAGAATCTCTGACCAAAATGTTGGTAGTTAAGTTGCAATGTGGGTAATGTAGGTGCCAGATTTTGACAAGGAAGTAGAATGCATGGAACAAAACAGAAAAAATAATAGGTGCTGCTGCATCGATCTTGACTTATGACAATGCTAAATCACTGGAGTACACTTAAGGCTGAAAGTGGTCAGTGCTATACCGTCTCCTGAAACACAATGATGGTTGCACCTTACTGAGCCTCCAAAAGGACCAATATCAGGAGCATGATGGGCAAAACCTGACTAATGGAGGTAGCTGAAGACATTGGCAGGCTACCGTTGGATATTTGTACAGTAAAAATGTCAAATTTGTACTGTACAAGGCAAAGTCTACCTATATGAAAACACTGAATTATTGCTCTCTAGTTTGTTGTATTATACCCGTAAGAATCTCCCTTTTATGAGACAATTTTAAAACTCATTACCTTAAGTTCAACAGTTAATGAATGAATACTCTTTGGACAAGATCCAAATGGAATGGAAACATTCAACATGATCAGGTCACGTTTCAATACAGATTTTCCATTATAATTCAGTGTTTCTTTGAACACCTTTGGTTAGGTATGGCCGATATAGATACAATCCTCGATCACTGTATATGTAATTTTATATCACCATACCGATATAATGTATATTGCAATATAGTAACATTTCTGGAAAAATCAATGACAGATTAAAAACACAGGAGCTATTTAAATAGCTGACAAATCCAGATCATACTGATACAAGAATCATAAAAATCTACTATTGCCACAAAGCAGCCCTGCTCATTGATTTGCACCATCCACAATGGCCTAATTAAATTGGCCCAAATTAAAGAGATAGCTATCGCAGCACTATATAAACTGAAAAATCTCTGATGGTAGATGCATTTAGGTTATTTAATCTCAGAATATCACTGCACTAATGTTTGCACTTGCAGTTTTTTCCTCCCATTTGACACTGTTGGTATTTTCTGATACCTTGATATACATTACACACAACCCTAGCTAAAAATAAAGGGGACATTGCAGCAGAAAGTAAATCCAGAAATGCTTGCTTGCCTCGGTTCGCTGTCATTTCACATAGCTTGTGACATGCAACTACACATGGCCTTGATGTAGCCTAGGCCAAAACACATAATAGTACAAGAGTTATCCATTATGTATTGTTTACTGCTCAGCTGGTAATGTATCCACGAGAAAGATGAAGAATAGCCTGGGGCCAGATGTTCATTTATAAGACAAAATATATTCCCTTTGAAAGCCCTGCTCGTTTCATCGCACCTATACAGAATTTTTTAACAACTCACTGTGACTGTGAACAATTTGTATTCTTAGTGTAAGGTATTGTTTTCTTGGTGTAAAGTAACCAAAGTGATGCTATCTTTGAGTCATGAATAAAGGGATGCATTGTCACAGTCTGTGAATCTCTTTCTCAATCTTTCACATTGTTCTACTCTGCTTATGCGGGGCGTGTTTTGTTGTTTTTAATTACTTTTCAGCCCAGAGATTTGCAGTGACCTATAATTGAGGTGTACAGCTCGTCTACCTTGTACAGCAAAAACCCTAATTTGTATGCACTGAGCCGTCAAAGAGTCTGCGTCACCTTCTGTGTTGTAGTGCACCATACTAATAGTCCTTGGATGACTAAAGAGCACGGATTATGACACTGTTTTCTTCTCCCGTTTTCCCCTTATAGGAATGCAAAGGTTGGCCCTTACAAATATTAGTCAGACTATCTGCGTGTGGGGAGTCCGAGGGTGTCGCTGGGGGCAACCTGAAGGGCTCATGCTAGTTGGTTTTCAAGTCTCATCATTATGCTGTTCTCTCACCTGAACTCAGGGATTGATAAGACTGCTGCTCCTGCAGCTGTGCTGCTCTGGAGCGTTGCACAGTGATAACAGACCAGCGAGACATCAAGCTGCTATCTCCTTGATGCTGACAATCGCCTCATATACTTGGCAACATGTGTCCAAAAAGTACAGTGCTCTCACTGAACAGGGAACCATGGAGGCAAACCAAAGGAAAGGAAGACTGTTCACATTTTGACAATTGAACACAAAATGTTCACAAATAGACTTTATACACTTACTGAAGCACAGATGAATGTTTTTGACTAATCCATTTTAGCACCAATGCTTCTACTACTGCTTCTCATTATTGATAGCTGGCATGCCAGAAAGCAGCAAAGCCACTGTCGATATTTTGAAGAGAACTGGTCTAAACTCAGGGTTATCAGGTCACCTTTGGTAGTTTCAGGTCAGATTTTATATGTTTGTTTGTTTTTAGGATATTTATATTTAATAAGTAAGATTTTATTTTATATATCTCATAAATTCTGATGACATATACACTGTCATCTGAATTAAAGCTGCAGTGGGACCTAATTCTACCATCACAATTGGATAGAAACTGTCCATGTTATTCTCCAGTCAAAGAATGAAAGAAGACACAATACACGCTTTGAAGCCATCATTCCTTTTTGTTTCAAACATGACACAAGTTGGACAGAACCTGTTGTGAGACAATGTGTTTTGAGACACTGTGTTCTTCAGAATTAAATTAAGTTTTACATCAAAAAGAGGTTTGTACTTCATAAGCGCCAGCAATAAAAGGGAAGGATGTAGCTTATCTCAGCCTGTACTCTCGCTCACTTTTATTACGGAGGTAATTTGCATTTTAATTTGGAGCTTGAACCTGTGCTTAATAGAATTAAACTGAGAGACACATTGACATGGTTTTCTGACCCCACCAAGGCCTGCTAGTACAGAAGGGGCAGAATCACTCAAGTTGTAGCGAGGTATGGGGTTGACCCCAGCTGAGATAAGCCTTAAAGGTAAACATTGTCTCCTTAAATACCAATTATTACCATCATTTTCAGCAAACTCCCTGCAGAAGCAGTGCATTAACCTATAAAATGGTGTGTTATTGAGAAAACACGAATCAACAAGATATTTTGATTCAGCTCTCGCCATAAAATATTGCCAATTTGGTGTACAAGATTGGAAGACCCTGCACAGAAAGCAAAACAGTATTGTCTTTTTCTCTTTAATGCATAGCAGGATTTTAGTTTGTTTTGCCATAATAACTCCCAGGCCTGTATCTGTGAAATTGAAAGTGGACTTGTCAGACATTTGAATGTTTACAGCAGCTTTGAATTTCCCATTCCAGTCAATATTAGGTTAGGCTATGGGGGAAATAGCTTGAGAGGGGGAAGTGTTATGAAGCATGAACAGCCTAGCTGTCGACCTACAAGAAAGAGAACCAGACAGAATGAAGTTTGGCATTTTATAATTAGAGATGAGGGGCTCGAGCAGCAAACAATGCACTTGAACTGGCACACGTCAGTGCCTTCTACTGTAAGTACAATAGTAGCAGTGAGATGTAGCAACAGATGTCTGCCTCAAATAATAACAGCACAACTCCACCTAAATAAGTGATTGTTTCACTGCTTTTAGTACTTCACACTTAACTAAAAGAGGTTTTATTGTCTCAAGTACAAACGTTTTGTTGGCTTTCTATATATTTATAGACCTTGTTCCTCCATCTGTATGTGTGAGTCATCTAGTCACAGACAAACAAGTTTAAACACCATGTTCTTATAATCATTGTCAGCCATGACCTTTAAGGTGGTTTTAATAAAGGTATAACTGACACAGACACTCAAAAGACAATGCAGAATCCAATGCAGGGTCTAAATGAAACTTAATTTGCCCCAAAGCCAATTTAGTGAGATCTGAATAGATCATGGCCATACTGAGCACAGTCAGCTACTACTCCATACAGTATACAGCTTTGCTCAGCAATGCAAATATGTAGTAATGTTTGCCCACAAACCATAAATATCTAGCATACCCTTGATGTAAAATGTAAAAATGTGTGTCTTTCACACACAACTATAGATGAGAAGAAAACTCCAGCTTCTGCAATGTAATTTCCTCTCTTCATTTTGCAGTGTGCATTTCTCTGAGTTGAATATAGGAGATGAGGCTGCCATTAACCACATGTTAAGACCACAGAGGCCTGTGGGCCAACACATGGTGGAGACCCCCTTAACCATTAAGACTAGTGGTTGTCTATATGAAATGCATGCTGTTTGCTACAACCAAAAACAAATACTAGTGCAAAAACACTATACAGTATGGTAATTTCAATGGCTGCATTGTATGGAGGCAGTACGCATTGATACAGGATTTAATCAGTACAATCACAAAGACACAACACCTTGCTTCATGTGCACCAGTCACTCACTCACCATAGGTGACTTTATCTGATTAAAAGAAAATGTTGTGTTCTCCATCGAAATCTGTCAGTATTGTCACCTCAATATCCCTGAATTCCACTAACTGGTACTCGTAAGTAGCATCCTTGGCCTTTAGCAATGCATTGATCTTTGAGCTCCAGGAAATGTTGCATTCTTCATCAAACCAACATTAACACTGACACACATTAAGATGTCTTACCTCAAAGCAGTTATTTGTTCTCTCCCCGTGCAGAAGCATCCACCACCATACAGGACACCATAAAGACCTGGCTCATCTCAGTTACAACCAAATCTGGAAAACCAGGCTCACAAGGGTGTAGTAGTTAAGCTAACTGTTAGCTGGTTGCACTGGTCAGTTCATTCCTTCAGTAGGAGCTTCTGTCAGTAGCTAGCTAGCTAGCATCAGACTCTTGGGAGTTTTCCTCAGTTCTGTCTGTTTACCAGGCTTGTCAGTTGTCAGATCTTCTTTTGCGCTTGTTTTTTTTTTTTTTTACAGTACAGTAAAATGTCAGTAATGTAACATGTTTCCACCACTGGGGGTTCATACAAACATTCATGATTTGGTTAGCCCAATGTTTGAAACTAGTTCTTCACAGTGCAACAGTGCATGGAAGCATAATGAAATAGACTATAAAGTATGCCTCTAAAGAAAATACTATTACACCATTTAGGAGTTGTGTTACTTGCCTTTATTTTTGTAAATTAAACACTGTCATTCAAATAACTTCATCCTCCACTGATTGACTGACACTTTCATTAGGATAGATGGAGCTGGCCACAGCAATTGCAAGACACTCCCTGCTGCTGCCCAGTTACAAACATTTTTTAGCACGTTTTGTCGAGGTTGTTTGTACATCCCACTGTATATGACTGCAATATGGAGGCTTCTTCAAAACAATAAAAATGTGTTTATTTCCCTTCACAATGTAAAGGGGCTGAATGGGCAATTCAAGGACAAAGATGAATATTTCTTTGAAAAACTTTATCAAGTGTATATTATTTTGCAGAAAGCTTCATTTTTGTCTCTGCCAGATACAGTCAAACGTCCTTGCTCCTAGCACATTATCCAGTATATACCATGAGGTCTTATCTTGCCATTTTCCATAGTGTTGCGGGAAGCTTTATGGCTGTTGCCACTAGAAAAGATTAGTCACAGCAGAGGTGTTGCAGTGGCACTGAGCTGCTGGCATCACTAGGGAGATCCACAATGTAATGCCTATTAGCACTGTGCAGTTAATTTGATCTTCTCTTTACTCCATGAATTAAAGTTTAGAAATATTGTTTGCTTGAAATTTTTTGCATATGAAAACCCTCAAGTCTCAAATTCACGTTACCGACTTATCCTTGCTGCTTCCATGCATGTTTATTAATGCACAGTAAACTATTTAAGCTGGACCAATATTTAAATTTGTAAATGAGATATTTGTTTTTTTCTCCATATTTTTTAAATGATTTGCATGAGTGAGTACAGATTTATAATCCAATGAATATCTTCCCCAACATATGCATAAAGGCGGGAAATTTAATTGAAGAATTCCTATCAAAAAATATTTCTTTCTGTGTATGCTTAGTCTCATTTCTGCACTCCAACTGCAGTCACCAAAAATCACTTCATGTTGATGCCCACCCTAAAGGATTTCGGCTATCAAATAAAGCTAAACTAGGTACTTGTGAATGAACAAATGCACATTTCAGATACATACATAATAGACATGGCAAATAATAAAATGATAAAATATTGTGCTAAAATGTTTGCGGTGGGGCTGCCAAAGCGGAACATCAGATTATGGGTTTTTGTTCTCTCAAGTGTTAATAATGACAGGAAGTAGATGCACTACTTTAACTGGCCTATGTGGCCCAAGCTAGCTAATGTAAAAAAAAAGAAAAAACATCGGCATTAAACATTGTTTTAAAGTTCTCAAGACCAAAAGTCTACATCGGTGGGGAGAATATATGCTGCAGCTCCTGAGGGAACAGGTGTCTGTTGGGTGCAACAAGTGAAACAAATCAGTCAAGTTCCGAGGCAGAGATGCTAACACTTCAGCGGCTAGCGTTGGTCAGGTGCAGCAACCGCACCTCCTCCTCACCTCACCTCCAGGCCGTTTCTCTCCCCGGGACTGTTGAACACCACAGCCTCCATCCTACTGACGCCAGACCAGGTCTATTTACAACAAGCCCGTTTAAAAGAAAAGTTAAAAAGGCACTTGAAGTGAGTGCATTATATTGGGAGAAAGACTAGCTGGAGTAACGTTACAGCCCCGAGGAACGTTTTGACACAGAACATCAGGGAGCCGTACTTCTCAGAGGGAAGGGCCCAATAAGTGCAGCTGACCTTTGAGACACATGTTGGATGTTATCCTGAAACACTTCAATATTGACACCCACCAGCACTCATCTTTTTTAATAGTGAGTAAATCTTTATCTTCTAACTTACACGTTATTTTGTGAATTGTGCACACGTCCTTCTGACCGCTTTGTATGACTTGGCAGCATAATGTCGCTGTCCATGGTGTTGTTACTGTAAGAAGCCAGTGGTGCTTTGAGGCGACAGGAGGCCTGCTGTATTTGGTGTGTTGATGCTTGACTTCGATGTGTATTTAATACTTAGTTGTGTTGGTCTGAGTCCCGTTGATTGCCCAGTGATTTGGTTGTTGCAGTTGATGTGTGTGGAAGGCCCATCAACCGATCTGTTGTTGACCTAAAGCTAATGTTAGCCTGATGCAAGCTGTTATTGAAACTTGTGCTGAAACAGTTGTATTGCCAACAATTGTCTCATTCTATCAATAATTTAACAAACAAAATTTCAAAATATTTACTGCTCCCACCACTGAAATGTGATGATTTCCAGCTTTTTCCCACAATTTATATTTTTGTTAAATGAATATCTCATCTCAGATAAAGAAAGCAAGATGAGGATGTCACCTCGGATTTGGGATCTTGTGATGGTAAATTTTTTATAAATAATTAGGCTAGATGTTGCTGCACTGGACACATGGGTGATATACGAATTGTATGTTCTTGTCTGTTGGGTAAAAAGATCCACAATGATATTTGGTATCCTGTCCTACCAGTGGGAAGTGACACAGATCTGCTGTGTTTATATATTCCAGATATTCCAGTAAGAACAAAACTAACTCAGTCATTGCACCAGGGAGATCTCAACAGCATACACTATCTTATATTTAGGGATCCAAGCAGCGAAGCCCTATTGTTTTGTGTTTCCAAGATTAAAAGTTTAAGGTGCACAAACACTTTTAAGCAGAGAAACATAAGAAGAAAGTGACATGGGATCCAAATAAAATAGAGAACATAGACTTAATATGAACTGAACTTGTCACCAAGTCTGACTTGGTCACCTGGGGATTTGAACCCTGGAACTTCAGATCTCGAGAGTAGGTGACTTACTAACTGCCTAACTGTTTCTTTCTTTCTTTCTTTTTCTACTACTGAACAAACAAAATTGGCAGGTAGATTGCAAATTCCACCCACTACTCAGGCAAAAAAAAAAAAAAAATTGTATTATATTATATACTATTGTAACCAAACTTGACGCGTCTGTTCAGTTGCTTCGAGATGGTCCGAGCTTCGCTGACCAGTCCTGGGATATTCTTCCACTATGGGGTACTACACTTGAAGAAAGTTTATACCTCATAATTCGCTGCATGGATTCGTACAAAATTCGGTTTGTTCGATCTAATCTCAGTTGATGCATAAAATCCGGTAATGATTGCTCAAAGTGGCTTATTACAAGGAATGTAAATTTCTAGACATTTCTCAGTGCAAACTTCAAAAAATTTAAGAAAATCATCCGTACATCCTAGAGAGCAGAAATATTTTCAGCACATCCACTGATTGACTCACTGCAACCTATGGTCAATTCAGAAGTCAGTCACTCTCTATTTTTCAGAATATGCTAAATCAATTAACATCTTTATCTCCACAAGTCTTTCTTCAAACGCTACTAAAATCAACACAGACATTGTCTAGATGGCTGATATCAAGTGTTTCAAAGGGTTTTTAGATCCGTCAAACGGTGAGTCTGCAGTTATGTTCAGTATCTTGCTAAAACTTGTACAGTATGCACAACATTTTCTTTATTGCTCAGTTTTGGATCAAATGTCATCAACCAACATCTTGACTCTTGTAAGTGTTTTAAATTCAAATTGACAAAAATAGCCGGGTCTGGCACATGTGACGTCACTACCTCACCTTGTGAGAAGTTGTGTGGAAGCAGCCTCTGGTGGCCCAGTTAATAAGTCACCTACTCTGGAGATCTGAAGTCCCAGGGTTCAAATCCCTAGGTGACCAAGTCAGACTTGGGGACAAGTTCAGTTCATAGTAAGTCTATGTTCTCTATTTTATTTGGATCCATGACACTTTCTTCTTATGTTTCTCTGCTTAAAAGTGTTTGCGCACCTTAAACTTTAAATGTTGGACACACAAAATGTCACAGGTGAGTTGAACATGTCACCCAGCTATATTTCAAATTAAAGCTGCACCAATAGGCCTATAGCAATGCTGTGTAACGAGAATGGTCAGTGGATATTGTACAGGAAATATGTGAACACAGAAATAAGTTGAATGATACATTGCTATACTGCATTTTCTGTTTGCAGCAAAGCACTGTCCGAGAATACATCATTCAGGCAAAATATCTATATTTACTCAGAAGCATGTTATCGACATCAAAGCCTACAACATCCTGCTCTTAAAATAAGCCCCATTTTAAAGTGCAGAATTCATGTGTCTGAGCAAACATATGGTAGTTTCACACAGTTATTCACTCTGAAGCTGCAGTGCCTTGCAGCTCTGGGTAAAAATCTCCCAAGTAGAACATACTGACATGATTTCAAATAGTCCTTCTCTCTTGCTCTCTCCGGCTGCTGCCGTCCTCGCTGCGAGCAGCTTAGAATGTGAATGTGTTTTGTGTTTGTTTTGCCAAGGGAGAAAACGCATGCACTCCACAGTATGATCTGAAGGAAAGGAGACTAAGACGGGTCCAGCACAGATCTATAATTGGGATCTGTTCTTGGATGTTCGAATGCCTATCCTCCAAAACCCTTTCCCTTCCTAATGGGAAAAGAGATCATGGATACATGTTTTTAGATTCCGCAATGCAGAATTCCTCCTAGTAATACCACAAAAAGCTTTTATTTTTATGACTGCATATGCACTATCCTGTGTATTAAAAAGTCTATCACACATTTATAGTGTGAAAATATACAGCCCGACAGGATTGGACGGACATCAGTAATGCTTACAATTCCTCGTTTTTGTGCTGTCGAGTCCTGGTTCCTGCGCTTCCATTGATTATCCCATTATTGGAGACACCAACATGGAGCAGCCTGTGGTGCTAATGGCATGCTCCCTCATTCATACGGACACTGAGAAATGGTAAACCATTACAACATGCAGCTCCTCAGCATAGCCTATCACTGCAGCCACATATTTGGCATCCATCCTCACCAGTAGACGCATAATTGTAGTCGAGGGAAAATGATAGGGCTTGTTAACATTTTTTAGAGGAATGCCCATGAAAAACAATAGTAGTTGTGATAAATATCTCAAATAAGGTCACCATTAAAAATGAATGAGTCTGATGGGATGCCCCTTTGTAATGTATATCCTTGTCGTGGCTAAAACCAAGGCTGACATTTATCACCTCAGAGAGGATAAAAAGTTGGGATCTCAGAGGTCCGTCTTACACTCTAATCGGTTTGGATTTCCAGAGATCCCCAGGCTTTGGCTGACTACACTCAGCAAGGCTGCAGAAGTGTGTAGAAAGCAAATGCAGAGGAGTGAAGGAGGCACAGAGAGAACAAGAAAGGTTGAGACAAATAAATGAAATGATGATAGATGACAAGGTCAGATCATTATTGGAGTAAGCCAGAAAAGGTTAGAGGAAAAGAGGTAAGAGAAGGAAAGAGAGAACTTGTGATTTAAATATATTTTTCTTCATTTAGTTGTTATTGTGTGTTTCAGAATTCCTCCCTTGTTGGAAATCAAACATTCAACAAGCGAAATGAAATTTCATGGTCCACAGATATTTCAAGTTTAATACCATCTCATCACTTTGTTATTGACAGTTGAAAAGTTCCCCTTCCTTGACCTTCACTGTGTAGAATTATGCTTCTGCAGTGTTTCACACATGAAGACAGTTTTATAATTAATTAATTGAATTCAGTTCTGGACGATGAATCAAATTTTATTTACAATTACAATTTTGGCTTCCAACAACGATTAGGAAAACAAGATAATCGAGATAAAACCATTCACAGTGATGCTTGTGTTATAAATCCAACTTTTCCTTTACAGCGGTGGCTCTCGCCCTTCCCTAAGAGCCCAAACTCACTCTCAGCTAAGCTGTGATGTTTAGTTCAACTCGAACCAAGATGACGGTGGTTATAACTGCTATAACTTGCAAGTCACCATTATATGCTTAAGCCTGAAGCATTTTACACTGCATAAATTAGCATAATGGATAGCAGACTTTTTCTACTAATAGCTTAACAAATTACAAATGTATTCTTATTTATATTTTTGTTACTCTCCATTGGTTTAAGTAATTGCAACTCCCGACAGACCACCATGGTTGAATTTCAGTGTTATGTAATGTAATGAGTTGTCATCTACTCAAGTAGTTCACCTGTCCCTCCTTTGCTGTGTTAGTAAATGCATTCTGTTTCCACAGTCAGTGAGTTTTGTGTTAATTAATCGTGATCTCAATATTGACCACAATAATGGTGATTATGATTTTTGCCAATAGTCAAGCAGACCTACTTAAATCTGTGTTTACTATGCTTCACACAAAACTATTGTGGGATTGTTGATTTTTTGGATAGTTCGCATACTTCACCTAGTTTTTCCAATGTGAGTATTTTGAAAATGCTAAATAGACTTAGACTGCTTTTTGTGGCCAATAATGACATATTTAAAAATTTTTTTAAAATAACTTAAATTTAGTTATAAATGAAATGTGACCAAGAGATAAAGAGACAGGTGAAAAATAAACTTGTGACACTGTTTTTAAATTACCTCACTGCTCACTGGAACTGCTCTACTGCAATGGCTGTTACCTATCGGCTGACATACACGGTGATATATCTATGTCCCCCTTTACACCCGTGTTTTGGGTTACTAGATTGCAATATAGTTTGGTAGCAACAAATTGGCTAGTGCTTGACCACATGAAAGTACAGGTGTGAATGCACTCAATCTGTAAACTACTAAAAAACTTAACTTCACTTTCCGGCTGAGCTCTTCAGCGCACCGCTAAAGAAAGTGGAAAACATGGGTGGATAATCGATGGAGGAAAACAAATAAGTGGAAAGCCCACTCAGAGACTGTTCAGAAAGTTACTGTACAGTAGAGCGATAGAGGATTATATAGGATAAGTCCGATGCCGA